TCCACCTTTCCTTCTTGATTGGTGTGCATTATGTGGTTTATGGAGAATTAGTTGCTTTGGTCTGGTGCTGGACTAGAACTTGCAACATCTCCAGCCAGTATCAAGTCTACAGATTTCTTAGCAGCAAGAAACAAAATTGGAGGTTTTGGGAAAAAAAAAAAAAAAAAAAAAAAGGCTCCCTAAGAATCCATTGGATCCAGCTCATAGAGCTATTTTCCTTAAAAATGTCCAGTCTTTGTAGAATAGCTCAGAATCAAATGTGGGGTTTGAAGAATAATTCTACAGACTGCAAAGAGGGGACAGTTTCTGGGTTATTCCCATGTTCCTCCCACTAGTCTACACCTTCTTTCCCTTTCTTGCCAAAATTTCCAGAATATGCCAGAGAAATATGTCAACATAACACAAATTTCACAATTAAGCATTCAGCAGGTTTGACTTCCCCCAAAATGCAATGACCGCTAGATACCCTGAACTCACCTCCATGGCAGCATTGACAGCTGTATCGGATCCAAGGCTGAAGTCAGTGCCAGGTACATTGTTACTAATGGTAGCTGGGATCACACCCATGATGATGCAAAGCTCATCATACTGCCCACGTGCTTCCACCAACTGTAACACTCCCTCATATGCCTGCAAAAGAAGGGGAAGAGTCAGAGATATAAGTCACATCTCTGAGCCAAGCACAGGAGTGCAAGGAGTACTGCAGGGGGACGGGGTCAGAGGCAGCCTGGAGCCTTTCTGCACCTCCATTAAGAATTTTAATTCAGTCTCAGAGCTGTGTAAGAAATACTTGCTCCAAGTAAGCCCATGAGCCTGGAAGACTGGACATCTCTCAGTCCAGTGTCTTTCACACCATGTTTTAGAACATACATTTAATAGACAGTTTGGATTACCACTGTGAACATCAAAAAAGACTACTCCAAGAAACAAAAAAGACACATGTACACACACAAAAACTCTGTACATAAAGATAAGATGCTGCGTTCTGCCAAGTCAATGCCACAGGTCCATTCAGCACAAGGTTGTCTAAAAACCCTGCTAAAGTCTCTGCTCATCAGAACAGACTCTACCATGAGTGACAGAAGCAGCCAGGATTTCAGACTGGGTTATTTCCTGGGGACTGAAGCTGGGTTGTTTTGCACGCAAAGCATGTACTTTGTGAGCCGTCCCAAGGCTTTGTTGTGATGGGGGCGGCATAGAAATGTTTTAAATAAATAAATAAATAAATATTATGGAGCCAGCCAAGCTAGAACCAATTATAATAATTTCCCTACCACTGTAGGTCCAACCCAAGCCTCTCAGCAGACGGAAGTACTAACATCTGTGCAAACATGCCTGGCTTGGCATGCATGGCATGACCTTTTAGAAAAGCAAGAGAAGTGTTCCCATTCAGTGTTGAAAGTACCCAAGGAGTTTCTTCACACCTCAAATCCTCCAATGACCAGCAGTGACTGGATGTTAAATTTCCGGACATTTTCCACAATCTTCTCCATGCATGTCTTCGGGAGGGTTCTGGCAAAAACAGGAGCAAAGTAAGTGGAGCCTTTAGACCCTTGTTTTATGGAACCTTCTTAAAGTATGTTTACTTTCTACAATTACAATATGAAAGAAAAAGAGGAGTTATTACTGCTATAAAACAAGCAGAGAAATCCTCTGTAATCTTCCAAATTAGTTTGCTGCTTTAGAGTCATTTGCACTTCCCAGATCATAGTATAAGGCACAGATCAGGGCTAAAGGAGGGGCCAGCCTTTGAAATAGTACTTTCATGGGAAATGCTGGCCTCTTGAGCACAAAGTACCCTTTGTATTGCTTTGTGCAGATACAATAGCCTTGTGACAACAATGGAAAAGAGGAGCTGTGCTTTATGAACCCACTTGCTCCTACTCTGGCCAAGTGAACAGTTGGAGAGCACAGTCCAGACACTTTTCTACAGCCTTGGATGGGACTCTTCTGTTCAGATGAACAAGTGCCCATGGAAAGAGGAAGTGGACTGCCTTGTCTCCAGAACCAAGCAGAGGCTTCCCTTTGGGAGGGAACATAATCTGCTCAGTAATTCCAGACACTTCTTAATTCACTCCCTCAAAAGCAATGTACAGATGGGGTGCTGAATCCGAGGCCATTTTCAACAAGTCCAGGGGCCTACTCTAGCCCCCTGGCTTTATCCAGAGGTCTACCTTTCCCTTTCCCCAACTGCCAGTCATGTAGTGGATATTGATATGGATCAACAGCACTGCCTGCATTTTTTCATTCAGCTCGGCTACAGGAACTGTCTTGATGAGTCCCGACAGAGCAGAATTTGCCACAGCACTACCAGTGGTGTGGAATGGGTTGGAGCTTGCAGTACTTCTGGGGTCTCAACACACTTTGATGCAAGACCCAGAGTGGGCAGCAGGAAGAACTGGAACTTCGACATGGAGAGTTATGGAAGGGACAGGCAATGGAAGAGAATGATCATGAAGCAGGAAATTCCTTCCAAGTCTGACAGTGAAGAATTGATGGGAAAGAACCACTATGAGTGACTTTTTTATACACCTTTATACCGTATGCAGGGCTTGCAGTCAAAGCTCAGAAAGAAAGGAAATAAACATGCCCAAAGGGCATGAACTAACTATAATGATGGGCTCTGAAAGGATAACACAGCACTATGAAGGCAATGGCAACCCACTCCAGTATCTTTGCCATGAAAACCCCATGGACAGTACCAAAAGGCAAAAAGATATGATGCCGGAAGATGAGCCCCTCAGGTCGGAAGGTGTCCAATATGCTACTGGGGAAGAGCAGAGGGCTAGTACTAGTAGCGCCAGAAAGAATGAAGCAACTGGGTCAAAGCCAAAAGGACACTCAGTTGCTGGTGTATCTGGTGGTGAAAGGAGAGTCCGATGCTGCAAAGATCTATACTCCATAGGAACCTGGAATGTTAGATCCATGAATCAAGGCAAGCTGGATGTGGTCAAACAAGAGATGACAAGACTGAACATCGACATCTTAGGAATCAGTGAACTAAAATGGACAGGAATGGGTGAATTTAATTCAGATGACCATCAGGTATACTACTGTGGGCAAGAATCCCTCAGAAGAAATGGAGTAGCCTTCATAGTCAATAAAAGAGTAGGAAAAGCAGTACTGGGATACAATCTCCAAAATGACAGAATGATCTCAGTTTGAATCCAAGGCAAACCATTCAACATCACAGTAGTCCAAGTCTATGCCCCAACCACTAGTACTGAAGAGGCTGAAGTTGACCGGTTCTATGAAGGCCTACAACACCTTCTAGAATTAACACCAAAAAATGATGTCCTTATCATCATGGGGGAATGGAATGCTAAAGTAGGAAGCCAAAAGATAACAGGAATAACAGGCAAGTTTGGCCTTGGAGTAAAAATGAAGCAGGGCACAGGCTGGTAGAATTTTGTCAAGAGAATATGATGGTCATAGCAAACACTCTTTTTCAACTACCCAAGAGACGATTCTACACATGGACATCACCAGATGGTCAGCACAGAAATCAGATTGACTATGTGCTCTGCAGCCAAAGATGGAGAAGCTCTATACAGTCAGTAAAAACAAAACCAGGAGCTCAGATCATGAGCTTCTTGTTGCAAAATTTAGGCTTAAATTGAAGAAAGTAGGGAAAAGCACTAGGCCACTCAGATATGACCTAAATCATATTCCTGATGAATATACAGTAGAGGTGACAAATAGATTTAAGGAATTAGATCTGATAGACAGAGTGCTTGAAGAACTAGGGATGGAGATTCACAACATTGTACAAGAGGTAGCAACTAAAATCATCCCAAAGAAAAAGAAATGCAAGAAAGCAAAATGGCTGTCTAGCTGAGGAAAGAAGGGAAGTAAAAGGCAAGGGAGAAAGATACATCCAATTGAATGCAGAATTCCAGAGAATAGCTAGAAGAGATCATAGTGCCTTCTTAAATGAACAGTGCAAAGAAATAGAAGAAAACAATAGAATAGGGAGGAAGAAGGGACCATTTCATAACCTAACAGAGGCAGAAGAGATTTAGAGGTGGCAAGATTACACAGAATAACTGTACAAGAAAGAGCCTAACATCCCTGATAACCACGATCACTGAGCTCAAGCCAGACATCCTGGAATGTGAAGTCAAATGGACCTTAGGAAGTCTGAGCAACAACAAAGCTAGTGGAGGCAACAGTATTCCAGCTGAGCTATTCAAAATCCTAAAAGACGATGTACTAAAAGTGTTACACTCAATATGCCAGCAAATTTGGAAAACTCAACAGTGGCCGCAGAATTGGAAAAGGTCAGTTTACATTCTGATCCCAAAGAAGGGCAATGCCAAAGAACGTTCAAACTACCACACCATTGCACTCATTTCACATGCTAGCAAAGTGATGCTCAAAATCCTACAAGCTAGGCTTCAGCAGTATGTGGACTGAGAACTACCAGAAGTACAGGCAGGATTTCGAAGAGGCAAAGGAACTAGAGATCAAATTGCCAACATATGCTGGATCATGGAGAAAACTAGGGAGTTCCAGAAAAACATCTACTTCTGCTTCATTGACTATGCTAAAGCCTTTGATTGTGTGGATCACAACACAATTGTGGCAAGTTCTTAAAGAGATGGGAGTACCAGACCATCTTACTTGTGAGAAACCTATATGTGGGTCAAGAAGCAACAGTGAGAACTGGACACAGAACCACTGTTTGGTTCAAAATTGAGAAAGGAGTTTGGCAAGGCTGTATCATGTTGCCCTGCCTATTTAACTTATATGCAGAGCACATCATGAGAAAGGCGGGGCTAGATGAATCACCAGTTGGAATTAAGATTGCCAGGAGAAATATCAACAACCTCAGATATACAGATGATACTACTGTAATGCCAGAAAGGGAAGAGGAACTAAAGAGCCTCTTGATGTGGGTGAAGAAGGAGAGCACAAAAGTTGGCTTGAAACTCAACATTAAGAAAACTAAGATCATGGCATCCAGTCCTATCACTTCCTGGCAAATAGATGGGGAAGAAATGGAGGTAGTGACTGATTTTATTTTCCTGGGCTCCAAGATCACCGCAGATTGGGACTGCAGCCAAGAAATTAAAAGACGCTTGCTCCTGGGGAGGAAAGCTATGGCAAATCTAGACAGCATAATAAAAAGCAGAGACATCACCCTGCCAACAAAAGTGCGTATAGTCAAGGCTATGGTTTTCCCAGTTGCAATGTATGGCTGTGAAAACTGGACCATAAGGAAGGCTGAGCGCCAAAGGATTGAGGCCTTTGAATTGTGGTGCTGGAGGAGACTCCTGCAAGTCCCTTGGACTGCAAGGCG